ACACAAAAGTCCAATTGGTTACCTCGTCTAAACGAAGCGGTTGAAGATTTTTGAACGGCTGTGAAGAAAATCGTTAAGAGAAGACGGTTAGAAATGACGGAATAGAGAAGGTGGTTGACTTGAAACAAACGGTTAAAAAGTAGTTATGATTGGTTACAAGAGGTTGAATAGTAAATATTTTTTACAAAAAAATTATATAAATATAAATTTAAATATAAATAATGATTTTAAAAATTTAGTTTGGTATTAATATATTTTATAATAAAACAATATATACATATACATAGTATTTTGAAAAATGAAAAAATATATACTAATTTAAAAAAAAAAATCCTAACGCCAGTTTGATAAACAATGCGATTTCAAACTCACCTATTTTCGAGTGGTTCACAAACGCCTCGTTTGAGCATCTAAACCTCGTTTCTAACCATCTATTTCAACCGTCGTTTCAACCGCTCGTTTCAAATGTTCGTCTGATTGATAATAAACGAGCGATTGAACCACACCACATTCTCAAAAGAGGTAACCAATCTATACCAATAAAATCATGTGGCATGGAATGTTGAAATTAGTTTAGATTTTAAACTTTTAATTGACAACACAATAAAAGAATTGTGGAATCGTAAATTTTTGTGTCAACGGACTATACTCTAAGAAGTAAGAACTATGCATTCAAAGCATATATTTTGTTTTTTTGGTAAAATGTTGAATAAATGAATGAAATTCCGATCCTATATAATTATATGACTGATAAAATTTTGTAAAATTGCGAAATCCGTTGAGGTTTTGTTTTACATTTAAATATTTTTACATATGTATGAGCATGAAATTATATAAACCATTTTCATTTGTTAGTATCGTACTTTATATTCCTTATAAACTTATTACTGTGCTACTTCGTTATAAGCCTTCCTAAAAACCTTCCTAAATTAGTCAAAAGTCTTCCTAAATTTGTTCTTTAAGAAAGTTTCCTACATATTTTGGAAAGTCTTCTTAAATTAATGAGAATCCTTCATAAATTTTGTTTTTAGGAAGGTTTTCTTCATATTTAGGAAGACCTTCCTTAACTAGTTAAAAAGTCTTCCTAAAAGTCTTCCTAAATTTGTTTTTAAGAAGGTTTCCTACATATTTATGAAGACGTTCATAAATTAGTGAGAATCCTTCCTAATTTTATTTTTTAGGAAGGTTTCCTACATATTTAGGAAAGTCTTCCTAAATTAGTGCTAAATTTGTTTTTCACGAAGGTTTCCTTCACATTTAGGAAGAAATTCCTAAATTGGTGAGAATCATTAATCTTAAATTTTTTTTTTTGAGGAAGGTATCTTTCACATTTAGGAAGTCCTTCCTAAATTAGTAAGAATCCTTTCTAAATTTGTTTATAAGAAAGATTTCCTTCATATTTAGGAAGGTCTTCCTAAATTAGTTAAAATCCTTCCCAAAAGCCTTCCTAAACTAGTCAAGGAAGCTTCTTAAAAACTAACACAATATATCTAAACTTAGGATATATTTTTGTATTTGGATTCAGACACTAATGCTAGAATTCTAGAGTTTTAGGATCTACGTATTGCTATCAATATTTTATGCGCATTTTGATGGTTTAGGCTAACATATTAGGGTATTGGTCATATATGTATACAAGACATCATGGCTAGGACTCGGTCGTGATGGATAAAGGGCTAGGACGGGTAAGGGTTGGGATGGGACGCGGGCTTCCAGTGTGAATAGCCACGACTATCTTTTCTTTGAGTGTGCATTCTCCGCAGGAATTTGAAATTTTTTTGCCTCAAAGACCTTGTCTAATCCTCCAATGGATCTACATGATGCAATTTCTTAGATAATCATGTTAGGTCTCTAACACAAACACATACTACTGCTATTATCAAACTCATTATCTAAGCAACTGTTTACTCCATTTGGCGTGAAAGAAATGTTTGGATCTTCACCGCAATCTTACTAAGCAATTGTTTAACAACCATCATTTGACCGTCTACTCTCGGTTATTTTTTTGGTATTTTTTGCTTTTTTTCTTTGAGTTTTTTAAATGTTTTTTTCAATATTATCATCCCGCATAGGGCGCGGGTACTGGACTAGTTAGTATGTAAACTATTAACTTTTTTGGTTTATGAAGGTAACGGATCTTCGTGTATATGCTCTTTATTATATACAAGATACGGCCCAAACATCCTGACCGTCCGACGTTAGGATTTCTAAATCTGATCTCACAAGTTGGACTCTTGAGCTAGGTTTAGTTATGATTTTTAAAAAATTGTGATTATTAGGTAACAGTGAAATATTTTTTTAAAGTTAAGAAAGCATAAACTTGGATGATAGATTGATAACACTGGTAATAAGAGAAGAAAATAATGTAGAATGGAACGTTGAAATTAATCTAAATTTTAGTTGATAACAAAATAATGGATTTGTGTAATAGTGACCATACTCTAAGAAACTAGTGTATCAAAAGCCTAGA